CTAGCCCGGTCAGTTCATTCTACCTGTTTATAAATAAATTAGTTGAATATCGTTAATTGATCAGAACGGACGTATACAGAGCCTTGAGTTTTGGCTAGAGATTTAGTTAGAGAGAATTTCATTAGACTGTGAGTCAAGTAATCGTTAGAGAAGTAGCATCTAGATTTGTTACATAGCTGCCTGTATACTAGAATCTACCTGTAGAATAGACTGGCAGGTATTGTATGTAGTAGTATAGCTGCCTGTAGTAGAACAGCTCCCCTGTACCCCCAGGTAAAGATGAGGTAAGCTACAAGTACAGGCACTAACAACCCTCCAGCGGTACTGCCAGCCAAACTTAAACCATGGGCTGTACCAAGCCTTGAGCCCTGGAACACCCTAAAATTTATTTTTTAATTACCAAGGAACCCTGGAATATCTAAAATAACCCTGACATAATATGTATTACCGATTAATTTCTAAGGATCCAGAAATAGTTGCCATGCACCCCCCAACACCTAAAAAGAGCAAAAATTAGATTTTCAGCTGAATTTTGGCATTTTTTGCCAACACCGGCTATCTTACTATCCCAAATTGACCTGGAACAGGTTGCAAACAAAAGGACCAAATATCTTTCATTTTGACGCGCAGTTCTTGAGTCAAAACAAAACAGTGCTTTACGTTTTTAAACTAAATTTGCCATTAAGTTTCAAAACCTTTGCCTAGTTCTAAGGTAGGTTGAATTTACCCAGCAAAGCTCAAAGTTTAGTAAAAAGGAAAGGAGGGTAGGTAGGTTTACCTGATATCTGATAATACTTTTAATCCAATATAAAGGATGGGTAGGTATAGGGTTGTTAACACAAATTTAAAATATAAGGGAGACGATTTTACCGACTCAGATGCCGTGGTCTATTCTCAAGACGTGTGTATCCATTTCCGCTATGAAGCACCCACATGTCCCCCTCGCTCCTTCGTCCCCTCCTCACCCCTCTACACATCCCAGCCCTCAGTCAGGTTAGGAGAGTTGAGCTAGTAACAGCTCCGACACAGGGAGCCTCTTGACTCCTTCATGATGATGATACAGATTTTGAGCTAACAGCAGGCGTGCTTATACCCGAGGGTTCCCAGTTCATTATGCATTCCAGAGACAACATAATCGCTCATAGCCAGCATGACAAGCCGCGATCTCTTCCTACTGATTTTGATAAGCCCTGTTGTCCCAGTTCCTGTTGATCTGCTCCACCTACATGAAGCTCTACAACACTCCCATGAAGTGCCATCAAATATTCATCATTAATTCCTTTGTTAATTTCTAAATCAACCAATTTTAACTCCGTCTTTTATGCAAATATTTCAAAACTTTCGTTTTTAAATAAATGTTAGAAATATCCATTTGGATCTCTTTATTTTATTATAGTGACTTTTAAAGTCAACAAGGGTAGGTTTACCTGATATCTGATAATACTCTTAATCCAATAGAAAGGATGGGTAGGTATAGGGTAGGTTTACCTAATAATACTCCTAGACCAGTATAAAGGATGGGTAGGTATGGCCACATGGTCAATTATATCCATGTCTAACATATAAGATCCATGTACAAAATTGATAGGAGGGTTGCAAGTTTCCTATGATTCAAATCAAAAAATAATTTTATCATTTTGACCTTTTGTCGTTTGACCCTTTGTCGCACTTTTGGCCCTTTGTCGTTTTACCCTTTGTCTTTTGACCCTGTGTCGTTTGACCTTTTGTCGTTTGACCCTTTGTCTTTTGACCCTGTGTCGTTTGACCTTTTGTCGGTGAATCAGGTCGGGTAGGTTTACCTAATAATACTCCTAGACAAGTATAAAGGATGGGTAGGTATAGGGTAGGTTTACCTAATAATACTCCTAGACCAGTATAAAGGATGGGTAGGTAGAGTAGGTATGAGATTAGAAAGCCAACACTGACCATCAAACCACCCAAAACACTGAGTAGCCGACTTGATGTCTTTTCTCTGCACCTACATATGAAAACGATGGATGAAGAAGAAAAATATATTTTAAAGAACTCAAGAAGTTAGTTCTATCGACCCTGTGTGCAAAGATTTATAACGCTTTTTTAAAACTGGGTTGAATGTTTTCGAGGAAATCCTTAGTCTGCACTTCAGCTTTCCGGTGTAAAGTTTCAGCAAGAAAACACACAGATTTCTCCACTGTTGATTATGAGACAGAGGTTTCTAAGGGTACCATTGTGAATAAAACATGTCAAATGGTCTCCTGCAAAAATTAAGTCCACAGTCCCTTTTTGGAAAATATAAAATAATTACCAGGCAACAGGGGAAGAGAAGAGAGAGAAGCAAGTAAAAGCTAAAATCATCATTAATTTATGATTTTGTATCCTAAAAAGTTATTTAATGAGTAACCCATGAAATTCGGATAAAGGAAGACGATATTTATGCAACTGTTTGTTTTCTTATATTATGCTTACTAATCAAAGAATGAAAAGGGTCTGTGTAAACTGCACAATTACTGTGTTCCATGTTCATTAGACTATTTAACATATTAACATTCGTCTTCCTACTTCTCAGTTTTATCGGCACCACTGTACTTCAATAAGTAGGAAAAAACAGTTCAACAAGGTATAAGCCATGGGTATACTTGGTAGTTGAGCTACAATGCCTTGGTCAATCTTAACCACACATTTGAACATAAACACATTGTGTTCATTGTTTCTGACCTTGGTTTCTTAAAGGGACTGTCACGTAATTTCAAGTGGTTCCCTTCCTTAAAACCTTTGACTGTTCATCGAGTAGAAAGATATTTCTGTTTCAACATATCGAACCAAGATAGAATTCAAACAACCGTTTTACGTTATCAGCGTATTCAAATTTTCAAAAGTAAGTTTTTATTTTCTGCCACTTTAAGAAAGTAACTATTGATCTTTTAAAGGGTACCGTTGTGAATCGGGGATGTTCCTCTTTAAATGGAAGGTCACTAGAAATTACGCTTACAGTCCCTTTAAGTAGAATTCCAGATTTCATGAAATTCATTTGGTCATTTTGTTTTTAAATTAAATAAACTTGCTAAAATAATGATGAACCTATAGCGGGAATCCAAGCAGCTTCTGAGGTTTCTATTCCCTGATTCTTGAGCTCAAGGAGAAATATTCCAAGCGATTTCAGGGAACCCTAAATGATGAAAACGATTTTAAAGCAGGAACCTTAATGTTCATTAGTATGGGGTAGCAATTTAATTAATAGGTTAGTTTAAACCCTCGCATTTATACATATTTGAAACATGTTTGAGACACATTTCGAAAAATTCTTAATTTTTGTGTGATAACGATTTTTAACTTAAAACATAGTTGCTGCATTGAAAGAATTGTTATATAATTTCAAAGAATTTTCTATTTTTTTATTGTTTTAATTTATCATTTTGTATAGTTTATACTTTAAAGGTGTTTATCTTTTACGTTAAAGGTACTGCAAAGGAAAAATGAAAGGGGGTATAGACTTAAAGGTAATCACTTTAGCTCTTGATCGCGACCCATGAAAGTTTTATCTGATGTTCCTGTCTCGAGAAATTGATATAAAACTGTGTTAAAATTAGTTCATATATGTAAAATTTAGAAAATCTTAAACTTAAATCACGTGACCAGAACAATCACCAATGGCAGAGAAGTATACTGGTCACGTGTCTCCGCCTGTATCACGTGACCACTTTACTGCACTGCCATTGGTGGAATTTCTGGTCAAGTAATACGGACGAACAAATAATGTTATGAATTAAATCTATTAAAAATAGAAATAACAAATTTAAAATTAGAATTGGAGTTAACCTAAGATACAATTAGCTTTCTCTGGGATATCTTCGTTTTCAGATTGGTTGCATATTTGCTGAATTTTATCTTTTTAAACCCACTACTTTTATACAAAATTGTATATATATTAATTTTCGTATAAATTTTACAAAGTTGTAGTTCAATTTCTCGAGATAGGAACATCAGATAGAACTTTCATGGATCGCGATCGAGAGCTAAAGTGATTAGCATTCAGTCTATACCCCCTTTAATTTTTCCTTTACAGTCTCTTTTAAAAACTATTTTAACCTTGACTAGAATATTGATAATGATACTGGAAACTAGAATGAAAACTGCACTTTTATTTTTCATCTTGATTTTATTCTGAAATTTACAGATAGTTCACAACAAGTCTATGTTTCATATTTCCCTGACCGTGTAAATCAAAATTCCATAATGTGGTCTATGATTTTGATTTGTTTTAAAATTAACATAACACTAAAATAACATGAAAATTGTTCACATGTTTGATAGCTCCGTCAATTTTGAAGATACTTAGACTTGTATAATTACTCTAATTGGAGGTACAATCTTTTTTGATACACTTTTTGTCTTATATAAATTGTCAGAAATTAAAGACGATTTTATAGTAGTCTTTTAACTCCCATAATTATTGGGTCCTCCTTAGAGTTTCCAGCGAAAAGGGTAAATTGTTTCGCGAAAATTTCGCATTTTTCTCGAAATTTTGCTTAAATTTTAAGAGAAAAATGCGAAAATTTTGCGGAAAAAATGAAAGAGAAATTATTAATTATGATATAATAGAACTAATAATGCTGAGCTCTCAGTTCATAAGAATTCCACAATTTTTTTGCGCAATTAATTGTTGAAGCTCAACACAATTGTGGATTTCGCGAAATTTCGTGTAGTTTTCACATTTTCTCGCACAATTCATTTTAGCGATAAATATAGATTGCGCAAAAAAGTCTGCGAAATACGAACGAACGAAGTTTTCCTTCGCTGGAAACCCCAGACTCCATCTGTACATTTTGAAAAGTAACAACTAACATAAAATAATAACAATTAAGAGTTCCTATCGTAGTGAGCTATTTAGTATGAAAAATAAGATTAGGAAAATTCAAAACAAATATGACCCCCCTGCTCTCATCCTTTCAATACCCCTTCCCCTCACCTTGTGGAGCCAGAGAGTTCAAAACTTTGTACTTTTAATTCATGTATGCATACAAAGTTACTTCTATACAATAATGAGACTTATATAATTAATGAGGAATGACGTAAATAGTTAACTACAGGGGATATTAGTTCCAAAACTAACACTTGGCCCATTCCTAACACTGAGTGGTAGAAATGGGCACACATTGAACGATTAGGGTTTTAGTAACCCGTCCAATATCAAGATGAAAAGTAGATAATACAAAACTAAAACCAACATTGTATTAAACATAACGAGGACAACAATTCCCAATATTAGATTATTTTCTAAAATCAAAATTATAAAAGAAGTTATTTATCTTAAAACCCTTTATCGTTTTCAAGACAATGCCAGGTTTTCCATTTTCGAACATATCCTGAATTGGAATCTTTGTCGCGTTTTCGGCACACATCTCACTTTCCCGTTTAGAGCATAATTCATAACAAAACTCATTTTCATAACTTATGAAATAAATCTAAAAAGAAAAAAATATCTTTTGAAGACTAAATTTTCTGTTGAATAATTTCAAGTATATTGTTTTCCACATTTGATGATTTATTTTCCCGCATTACCAGCATTTCCAGTTAAATATTTGTGTAAGAACAAAATAAAATTAATATCACAATCTATCAATGAATGTATATATTTTATAGCTGTGAAAAAATAATATGTTCTTATTTTTTTTTAATACTATTTACCTTTTTTAAAAATCTTGTTTTGTTATGTATGTGCTAAAATGATTAAAAAATTGACATTGATACAAATTTGAGTAAATGTCTTATAATCAGATGCATGAGCTGCAAGAAATTGAAAATTAAATCGAGAATCATCAAAAAATAATTCTCATCCCATAACATAAGTTTATGGTTGAAATTTCTTGTTTCAATATACATATAGAAGATGTTACTTACTAAATGTGATTAATAATTGAGAACAAATTAATAAATGCTAAGGTATTGTTCAATTCCGCTTGGATTTAAAGATATAACTATTGAAAAAGATAACTTGGCAGATTTGGCTCATTCCTAACACTCAGTGTTAGGAATGGATTAAGTGATAGTTTTAGAACAATAATGTTCCCTGTACTTTTAAAACAAAAATCTACATATCCCAAAAAAAGAGGTTATCCATTTTGTAGTTATGTGGAAAAGTTGCATTAAAATAATAAATATGTAATTTCCACAGATTTACAGAAGTTAATGACAATAATAAACAGACGAAAATCTTCTCGCAGATTTTCATGAACTGACGGAAATCAGCTGAGAGGATCAAGAGAGCTTTCTCGGGTACTTTCTCATCTTAAACTTTCTAAACATATACCTTTCATACACGAACTGTTATTATTAAAGAGACTGTTCATTTCGATTCCCAACCGTTTCCTTTATAACTATGACTCAGCAAAAAGATGTGGATTTTCTAACTAAATATATTAACTGAATTAAATGAGACAGCCACTTAAAGATACATCGATGTTTCTTTTAACATCTGGATATGGCTTTAATATCCTAGCAATATATTTGTATATAGCTTATAAGTAATATCTTTATAAATCTACCTTTATAATAGTAATATCTTATTATGTATATAGTCTTTCAATTTCAACACTTAATGCTTTGAGAAAATATTAACTTTTTAGTCAAATTATGATTGAATGAACTAAGAATTAGGAAGTATTGCTTTGCCCTGAATTTTGACCTAGAAAGTGTCTTAGATACAAATTGGTCTGTAAAGTAAGACTTTGAAAATTGTTGAATTTACTCTGGGCCAGGGGTATCCTTCCTCAATGGTTACGTGATAAAGGATCCTGTAGCCAGGATCTTGTATTTAGCAACGTGTTCCCATCATCTGGAGAAATTAGACCCAATCTAACCTAAATTTAGTTTAGAGGTATAATACTGGGACTAATTTACTCTAAATGCCTAGAGTAATAATTCAAAACCTAATGTTTAAAGATATCGTCCAGGGGGGACGGATTTAATCTAAACATTATCTGGAGAAATTACTCCGGATCTAATGTCAGTTCGGCGGAGAGTTATGAATGGATTAACTCTAAGAAATTTATTGAGATTTTAGTAATAACCGATTTCACTGACCGATCATTTTGTTAGAAAACGAACGAAATAGATAAAAAATGAACGATAACTTTGAGAACGAACCAAATCAATATTGTTGAATAGCTCGAAGTGCAGTGATAACCAGAAAACTTTGGAATTAAGTTATAACTTTATAAAGTCACCACAGCAATTGGGCTGTGTCAAAGTAAAGACCCAACAACATCAAATGCGCTAAAGTATTGCTATAGTGTTGTCTTCATATTCCATTGTTTTATGGTTATCACTGTACACATTAGGTAACTTGAAAACTTGAAATAGAAACTTATTTTTTCATGAGATGTTTAAAAACGGATTATCTCTTTACAAAGATGTACTTTGTAATACCACATGGAGCAACCCTAACTGAATCCTTGCACAACTACTCATCTTTTGAAAATACATTGAAAAAGAATAGCAAAAAATTACTTGTCACTGATCAAAATATGTATGTGGAATGTGGAATTGAATAACTTGAATAATTTGCAGAGTTTGTCTATTTATTTAGCAAGTTAAAGTTCAACAGAATCAATATAGATCACTGCTGAAGTCCGCCAGGTGATATATTGCACTCCTAAACCGTTTTGGATGGCCTTCCTCAGTGTCTGGTTTCTAAATGGTAATATGATTAATACTGTCTATGAACCATAGCTTTACATTAAAAAAAATTACTACCTTTAAATAAAAATGAAGTTTCCATGTGCTTTCTCATAAAATTACAGTGGGTTAATGAATATTATACAAGTTTACCTGGGATTGTTTATCTTTAGGAACGGCATCTTCAATATATTGACCCAGGATGACTTCTTGGACCTGGAAAATATAAAAAACCGTCAGTTCATGACTAAATTTGAATAGAAATGAAGTTTCCATGTTTTTCTTCAAAATACTACTTCGAGCCAATGCATATTATGAAAAGTTTACCTGGGGTTGGACCGGGTACTTTTGCTACTTTTTGATGGTCTGAACTCTTACCATCATTTAAAGAAAACAACCCATTTCCCTTGCTGTTGTACATTGTCTTGCTCTGTTTAACTATCTGCTGAAGGCTAGGTTTGTAACTTGGCTTACTCAGTTTGCCCTTTAGCCAAGTCAAGATGGTCTGAACATTTCTAAAAGAAACATAGCCAGGTTAACGGTTTGGATGCATTAATCAATAAATATCTTAGTCAAGCACGCAAAACTGTCTTTGTCCATGGCTTCATTGCAACAGAACCGTATCAGATTTATAAACAGCTAAAGTCATCATTTGTATTGAAAACATGGCTGACATATATCATACTGACATCTTGTCCCATTTCTCAAATCTGCAGAATGTTATCTATTTCTGTAAGTTGAACTGGCTCCTCTTTAGGAGCTTGTCTATTAATTTCGGTTGATCTGAGACCATGCACTAAACAACATCCATGTTAATGAATTAACATTATTGTACAATACATAATTAACATTAATTACAATACATAATTTTTTTAAGTGATGTGTAAGTCTTAGACCAGATCTATACCCGTACAGATGGGACATCTGACTTTACTTGGTCCTGGCTGTTTCTTGTAAAATCCAACATGTTTTAAAGCTTCGATGGTTTCTGTTTGGGTAATATTCTGTGAGTGTGAACTGTCTAAATACATCAAGATGAAATTCCTTCTAGCTTTCATATTAGTAATATCTTTCTATTATAGCTTTAACGTAAGTGGGTTGACTTTATAGAGAAAGTTTAGGTGCCAGAAATGCAAAAGACAATTTACAGAAAAACCACAATCGAAAATAAGCAGTTTTCAAAAAGAAAAACATGGATATATTATTAATTCTTATTCAGACAAAGCCCTGAAGGGTACCATGTTGAAAATTGGTCATTTCACTCTAACCAATCTCCAATTTTATTCGAAATTACATTAACTGTTCCTTTAAGAGCAACGAAAACCATGGAACACCATTTTGTATCTCCTATAGTTTCACGTCTATACTCTCAGTAGAGTGTATAAAAGCATTAAAAGGTTCTCACTCTAATGGAAGCTTGATGTTCTTTGATTTGTCAAGTATTTTTGTCACCTATTCTCCTAATACAGTAACACATTTAACACACTTCAGTGGGACACCTTGTAGTATTCTGGAATGCTCAGTGGGACACCCTGTAGTATCCTGGAAGGTTCAGTGGGACACCCTGTAGTATTCTGGAATGTTTAGTGGGACACCCTGTAGTAATATCCTGGAATGTTTGGTGGGACACCCTGTAGTTGCATCCTGGAATGTTCAGTGGGACACCCTGTAGTAGTATCCTGGAATGTTCAGTGAGACACCCTTTAGTATCCTGGAATGTCTATTGGGACACCCTGTAGTTGTAACCTGGAATGTTCAGTGGGACACCCCGTAGTTGCATCCTGGAATGTTCAGTGGGACACCCTGTAGTAGTATCCTGGAATGTTCAGTGGGACACCCTTTAGTATCCTGGAATGTCTATTGGGACACCCTGTAGTTGTACCCTGGAATGTTCAGTGGGACACCCTGTAGTTGTAACCTGGAATGTTCAGTGGGACACCCCGTAGTTGTATCCTGGAATGTTTACTGGGACATCCTGTAGTATCCTGGAATGTCTAATGGGACACACTGTAGTTGTATCCTGGAATGTTTAGTGGGACACCCTGTAGTTGTATACTGGAATGTCTAGTGGGACACCCTGTAATTGTATCCTGGAATGTTCAGTGGGATACCCTGTAGTTGTATACTGGAATGTCTAGTGGGACACCCTGTAGTTTTATCCTGGAATGTTCAGTGGTACACCCTGTAGTTGTATCCTGGAATGTTCAGTGGGACACCCTGTAGTTGTATACTGGAATGTCTAGTGGGACACCCTGTAGTTGTATCCAGGAATATTCAGTGGGACACCTTGCAGTAGTATCCAGGAATGTTCAGTGGGACACCCTGCAGTAGTATCCAGGAATGTTCAGTGGGACACCCTTTAGTAGTATCCAGGAATATTCAGTGGGACACCCTGTAGTTGCCTCCTGGAATGTTCAGTTGGACACCCTGTAGTATAGTATCCAGGAATGTTCAGTGGGACACCCTGCAGTATAGTATACTGGAATATTCAGTGGGACACCCTGTAGTATAGTATCCAGGAATGTTCAGTGGGACACCCTGCAGTAGTATCCTGGAATGTCTAGTGGGAAACCCTGTAGTTGTATCCTGGAATGTCTAGTGGGACACCCTGTCGTAGTATCCAGGAATGTTCAGTGGGACACCCTGCAGTAGTATCCTGGAATGTCTAGTGGGACACCCTGTAGTTGTATCCTGGAATGTCTAGTGGGACACCCTGTCGTAGTATCCAGGAATGTTCAGTGGGACACCCTGTAGTAGTATCCAGGAATGTTCAGTGGGACACCCTGCAGTAGCACCAGGAATGTTCAGTTGGACACCCTGTAGTATTCTGGAATGTCTAGTGGGACACCCTGTATTTGTATCCTGGAATGTTTAGTGGGACACCCTGTAGTTGTATCCTGGAATGTTGAGTCACGTGTTCTGGAATATTTTGGAAAATTTAATCGAATTCCTGGAACTTGACAGAAAAAGAATCAAAAATTAGGTCGAGGGGTTAATTTGCTTAAAGGGGCTGTAACCGTAATATGACCCTCCATTAAAAAAATGGCATGTCCAATTCTCAACAGTAGCCTTTAACCCACCTCCATTTCAGTAATAAAATGCAATGAATTTCCTTCATTGTCTCTTTAGCATAAATCCGTGGGACACATTGAAAGAGAAACCAAAAAATATGCCTGTGGTCATAATTCACATTTTCATTTAAAAGTTTTCACCTACAGACAAAAGAAGAGATTTATCAAATTGCCGAGATTCAAAACTTTACAAAACTTTGCATCAAAATTTTTTAAGAAAAATTAGATATAATTTTGCTTTGAAGCTTTTGGTAGATTTTTAAGCCTAACTTCCAAAAAACTCTTTTACTTAGAAGTTTACATTACAACTAATCATATTCATCTATATATATAAAGTTGTAATCTCTGTTTTGGTATCTGTCTGTCTGTTTGTTTATTTGTCCGATCATAACTCAGGAACCCCAGGACCGATTTGCCTTAAATTTTGATTGGGGAACTCATGAGACCCACGGTAATGTTCTTAGCGTGGTTTTAAGATTAAGTTGAGTGGGTCTACTTTAATAGCGTAAATCTAGTTTCTCGGTAAAATCGTTCAAGTGCGGGTAAACGGCGGGAGTAACTTTGAGAAACCTGAGCAGCGCTGGATTCCAAAGCTAGTCATCTATATAATAAAGCTCTTCGCTCATAAAAGTATATTTGTATAACCTATCTAAATAAACAATTGAACATGTTCATTGTTCAAGACTTATTTTAAGAAGATATATTTGTATATATCTATATTTTACAAGTATATCTTCTTAAAATAAGATATATTTTGATATGTATGTTAGCTATAGCTGAACCCTTAGGGAACCCTTAGGTACTATGGGAGTAATATAGGCTAAAAAGATTTGTAATTATTTTTTTCAAAATTCAAAATTTTTTTGAAGTGTTTCGAACAATCCACGTACAACGCCGGACTCTTCAGCTAGTTATGATTGGAACTTTTTTTTCAACTCTGTTTGGAAAAGTTGAATGAGGTACTCGTTGTTTTATATAATGATTTATTCTATAATAAATAATACAACAGATGATATTTATTAACTAACAATAATATTTTGACAATTATTTAAATAATGAATTAGCACTTTTATGTTTACAACAATATAACAACTTTAAATCTAAGAATTTCCAAATTCTTAAAAAACAACTTTTAGCTATTCCTTCATCTATATTCTTGTTTCTAACATTTTGATAATCATTTGTGTAAGGTATTGTCAGATTCATGTAAAAGCTTAATGAGATTCTATTTAGTTTTAATCTAATAAAGTTTGATAGTTCCACTTTTCTTCGATCACTTTCGATAAATAAACCAGAACATTATTTACAGTAAAAATAGCAATAACAGTTTTTTAAATTCAAGCCTCTTACTTCTGTAAAGCCATATAGTCATATTTTCTTCGATTCTAAACATTTGGAAATTCTTCTTATTTAACAATATAATATTTATCATTTTAAAATACTTGAAACAGAAACTCAAAGTTTGATTTAATTTATTCTTGATTAGTATTTATAAAAATTTGATTTTTTGCTTGAAGTTCAACTGAGGTTGACAAAATATAAGTTTGGCTAAAACAATATGTCATGACATCTTTTTCGCTTTAAGCCTTGCAACAAAATTATTTTATTTACAATTATGATTTTTTTTTACAAATAACAAATATTTCTAATACTTTAAATTAACGGAGAATGTGAAAAATCATAATTTATATAAAAAGTATGATATAAATAATATAAATAATTTATTCAGCTGTAACCAGAAAACTGTGGAATGATCGTCGTCATCCTACTGATGCATCGTTTTCAGGATCGTTTTTGAAGATCGGTTTCAGGATCGTTTTCAGGATCGTTTTTGAAGATCGGTTTCAGGATCGTTTTCAGGATCGCTTTCAGGATCGTTTTGAGGATCGTTTTTGAAGATCGGTTTCAGGATCGTTTTCAGGATCGTTTTGAGACATTTAAAGTCTTTTGACGTTTATAGTGCTTCACAAAAATGTCATCTATCTAACAAATTACACAATTGTGTTATCGATAAGTTTGCTTTTATTACAATGCACATTTTTTGGTGACATTTTATCATTGGAAATGTGAAAGAAAAAAAATCAATCCACTGTTTTCTGGTTACCACTGTATTTTAAATATTTTCAACAATTTTACAAAACTGTTTCTATCTCTGAAAATCCTTGACTGTATCTCCTTCAGAAAAAAATATTAATTAATAATTTATATTTATATTTTGAATATTTAATTTATAAGAATACTTTTCTCCCTAAAATACGGGTGATTTTTATATAAATAAATATTCTACGTATGAAATTGTGAATAAGAAAATATAATAAGATTAATTAAGAATTTTTGAAATATTTAAGGTATACGTAATTTCAAGTGACCTTTCATTAACCCTATAAAGGCTGAGGGGTCTGAATCTATGTATATACTGGGGGGGGGGGCATCCCACGCCCCCCCTTCCAAGAAAAGGCCTTGGAGAATAACACAATTTTTCAAGGCCAGCTTATTGAAAACAAATGAAATCGATAACTTTTATAGTTTAGGTGCTAGGGAGGGTTGAAAAAAATGCCAAAAAAAGGTAAAAAAATGTAAAAGTTTTTTTGTTTAAAAAAAATATCAAAGTGTGACAAAGGGCTTTTCAATAATATTGTTTTTAGATAGAAGTTTTAGTCATAAAAAAGTTGTTGGCTATTTTAGATTTTTTTTACACAGACCGGACTCAGTGGCGGATATAAGGGGGGTTATTGGGGTTATTTACCCCCCCCTAGAATCCTGGGGGTAAATACCCCCCCCTAGAATCCCGGGGGTATTACCCCTGAACTATTCAGGCCCTGAGAAGCGAGCTGTTACTTTGTTTTTGTTTTTAAAAAAAGGTTGATTTTAAAATTGAATATCTTTTTTGCGAGAAAATAATTTAAATGTGCAGATACTTCAGATTTTAATTCAACATATTCTAAATGATTCTAGATTTTAATATCATAACAATTATATGTTTTTAATAAAAAAGGGTATTGGCAATGAAAAATACATTTTTACTTCTAAATAATGTCATTTCCATATCAGCTTTATTTAAGATCTTAACATACTACATTGACGAAAAGAAAATTTTAGAAATTAGAAACAAAGACAATATTTCTTCAAAGTTTTCAGAGCAGCTTTTCTAAAGATTTTAAAAAGTAACATCCTTTTCCTCTTTGAGTAAAACTATTATTTTTTATCTTACTTAAAATAAATTCAGTTTTTTACAGATCTTTGTAGTTAATGTAAAACGAATGACTA